TCACATCTCTGGGAATGTTTTAATCTGACCTTTTTTTGGTCATTCATAAAAATTTTCAAGTCATTTATGAGTTTTTGCTTTGGGTTATAATTCAGCTGGTTTTTTTATATATTTTATTTACATATTCAGTAAAACAAATCCCATTTGTGATTATTAAACCCTATTTAGAAATAGAATTGGAAATAAAAGGTGAACATCTGAAAATAATTACATCAGAATATATCTTTAACAAATATGTTTTATCCTTCTTTTAGTTTGTATCAAAGAAGTTTGATTCTTTAAAACAAATAAGCAAAAACAAAAACAGCTATACAATGTACGAGTACTTCGGTGGTATTAAGTACCATTGGAATGAAACAGGAATAGAGTTATCGTTCCTGTTTTATAGCAGTTCTGATGTTCATCCGCCAACATGAAATCCATCCAGAGGGGCACGAATCGCTATTCAGCTTGTCTCGGAATAACATGAGTTGGTCACGAATAAACAAGCATCGAGACGGGGACGAGTCTTCTTGGAGGTTACGGAAAGGGGCGAGTGGTGACGAATGGAGGTAGGAATGCTCCAAGGGAAGTAACTCTGTTTTGATTTCTGAATGTGATAGAAAGTTGTGCACTTGGCAAAAGGCGTTCAAATCCTCAAATGTCATCAGGCAAATTCTAACGAGATTTTTATTTTTTAATGTTTCGTTTATTTCGTCAATAAAGTAGATAATAGAAAATGTCAAAGTATGTTAAAGTCTTGGTATTGCGGGTGATTGCCGGTACAGGAATGATTGACTGAGTTGCTTTCACGCTGCTTTTAGAAATATTCCAGCAATATCACGGCGGGGGACACCAGAACACGTTGTAAACATGTGGGAAATCGACCCCGGGTGTTCGGCGGGACGAGGGATATCTTTAACCACTAGCCTACCCCACCGCCCTGATATACAAGAAATGTGTGATCGGGTGGTCATGCTCACTGAATTGGTTGGCACATCGTATCCGTATCATTGTATCATCGTATCCCAGTTGCGTAGATCGATGCTCAATATACCGTAGTATATCCAATGAATTATCGCACTTTTGCGTCTTGTTTATACTCCTGAATGAAGTTAATCTCAACACAAACACTATAATAAGCTCACTTACCTCGGGCACATTTGTCTGTAGGCGTAAAACCTCGCCGCGATAGTTCTACGATCATTTATCTCAGTGTGTAGCTGGGCTGTCACTGTGTAACCTGAACTGATCATGAGTCTTAGGCCATGTTATAAAGTATCGTTTCTCGTGATAATCCTAAAAAGGTGATCGTGATTTTACCCCGCTTTTAGCAATATTTCAGCAATATCACGGCGGGGAACACCAGAAATGGGCTTCACATATTGTACCGTTGTGGGGAATCAAACCCGGGTCATCGGCGTGACGATTGGACGCTATAACCATTTGGCTCCCCAGTTGTAAAACGTATACACCCTATTACCCAGTCCTGCCCGGTACCCGATGTGGATCTGATGATATAAATGTCAACTAAGAAATTGTTTTACCGAAGGTCTGATAAACAAAATGTTTGGTGGTGGCTTCGAATGGAACGGGTAATACAAGATACTTGATTTGGATGTGCAACTTCTTTATTATTTACACCATTCATGAGTGAGTGAATGAGTGGGTGGGTGAGTGAGTGTAGTTTTACGTCGCTTTTACCAATATCATGTGGCACCAGAAATGTTTTTCTATAGTGATGTATTCGATACGCGTATCATAGGCGATATTAATGTATCATATCAGTGAATGTTTCACAGCATGGGACGTGGACATGGCGTCTCAGGCAGCTTGTGAGTGAGTGAGGATGGTTTTGTGATGCTTTTAGTAATAGATTAGCAACATCACGACGTGGGTGTGTTTTTGTGTCCTCGTGGGACACCAGAAATTGGTTTCACACAATGTACATATGTGGAGAATCGAACAAGGGTCTTCGGCATGACGGGCGAACGCTTTACCACCGCCAGTAATTGTTGCGAAACCCTCACTACTGCTTGCCTAGGTATACAGAAGTAATTCTCATATAATTTGCAGCATAAAATTTAACCTCTTTGTTGATGTGCACAAAAACGAAAGTATATGTTGGCATTGCCGATCGTTGGGCTCGGTTGCATCATCTGAAAGGGAAAAGTTGTGAAATATTAAATCTGATCGTATAGCACTGCCAGTGAGTACGTGGAGGAACCCCTACTGTTAAACCCTAGGTAAGCCGGTGGTTGACATAGAGGTAGCCATACCTCCCAGGATACTTCACTGTAGTGCGTCTTCCTAGTGTTGGCCCTCTTCAAAACATGCCTTCATTTGCATGATAATTGGTGTGACTTCCAAGTCACGGTTTATTACTAAGGTTTATTTAAAGACCCGTAAACCGTTTATCGTTCATTTTGAAACTGCCCATGTTGAAGTCATGTCTGCTACAGGTGAGTTAAATCTGTTCTTGACATCTCTGTGTAAACTGTTCGTTTTAGCCAGTCTTGTTTGAATGTTTGTTTTCTCATCCGTTTCAAAACGGAAGGATGTTTTCCTTTTGGTGATAAACAATACATATGGGTTTAGAAGTTTCTAAATTTATTATACAGTTATATTTTGAGTTCCTACATATTTGTTTCATTTTAGGTATCAAGGCCGGAGGTTGTTCTGTCATTGCCAAGGTTGCCGTGGTGACAGTTTCCGTGGTAACCGTTGGCGTCATCGTTGCAATAGCAGTCCCACTGGCTCGTGAGTTGTATACTCAGACACTAGCAGCATCTGATATGAACAATTAACATTATGTGGTACATGAACAATGAAAACAGTGTGATGATATATGAACAATTGACATTATGTGGTACATGAACAATCAAATAGCGTGATGATATATGAACAATTAACATTATGTGGTACATGAACAATCAAACAGCGTGATGATATATGAACAATTATCATTATGTGGTACATGAACAAATAAACGTGATGATACAGGAACAATTAACATTATGTGGTAGATGAACGGAGTCTCTCCTGGAAGAATCTCCGATCCTACTAGCAGAGATTGCAATCGTAGTCTCTACTGGTAGAGACTACGATTATATGGAATAACCTATGCAAACAAGTGCAAGCTTATGCAAGCAAGTATAATAAGTGGGGGTAATTTTTTCCTATTATTTGCCAGTTATAATTGAATTTATTTATTGTTATCTTGTTAACTTTATTTGTTAAGTCTGTTTTGGAGTAAGGTATTTTGTTTTTGTTTTTTGAGTGGAGTCCAAATTTGGCAGCTTGGTCAGCCTCCTCGAACTGACTGTGTTGTACTGGAAATACTGGGTGAGCAGGGCATTCAAGATGAGGATGATTTAACAGATCTTTTCATCAGTTGGAGAACAGACAAGTTGAAGATCCCATCAACCCACTGACAAACCAGACTACAAGTGATTCTGCAGGCATCCAGACCACATCCCAGCCAAGTGATTCTGCAGGCATCCAGACCACATCCCAGCCAAGTGATTCTGCAGGCATCCAGACCACATCCCAGCCAAGTGATTCTTGCTAGGAGTACCAGCTTCTGGATGGTGCAAAAATAGTTTAAACTGGAACCAAAGTGTTTGGGAGGACCACAGTACATGGTGAAACAGTTGATTCCCAACATCATGGAGTATTCCAGATAACAACTGTGGAGGATCCGGACTTGATTCCAGCTGGAGGTAACCCAATTGATGAACCACTTTCTGTTGGCCAGTTCTTCGTTTGGGATATCACTCAAGCAGTTCCACTGGAACCTGACACACCGCACAGTAAGGTACGGAAAATTGCAACAGACAACTATCTGAAAGCAGCCAACAGGCAGCAAGTTAATTATGATGCCAAGTTGAAAAGTACTTCTTTCAATGAAGGGGACACTGTTGGAATACGCATTCACGAAGTGGATCGCACAAACACCGACCCTCGACTTCTTCCATGCAAGGTCCTACAAGTTAAAGGTGCAGGGAAAGATGCAACATACAAGTTATATACAGCACATGGTCGTCTGAGAAACACCTTTGGTCCGGAAGAGCTGGTTGACATGCGTAATGTTTTTTTTCCATCATTGGAGCAAAAGGATGTCCACAGTCTTGACGAAATCAGTCTCATCCAGGTTTCAAGAATGAACAACGTTTGGACAGCAAGTAGGACACAAGGATCGACTGTATGTTCTTGCAAGGGGAGCTGTGTAACGAACAGATGTAGGTGCAAAAAGCAAGGAATGAAATGCTCAACAAAGTGCCACCCATCAACAACTAACGTGTGCCAAAATAAAGTTTAGTACTTATGATTATGCAGTGTTTGCCATGACGCAGAAAACCTGCGTATTTGACTCACAAATTATCTCAAATACGCAGTGAATTTATAAGCTCGCGTCATTGTTGAGGCAATGCTCGACCTGAGCTGTTAGTTCAGATAACTTTACTTTAGTTTAAGTTTGAGTACATATTGTAATTTATTGTTGTTTAAAACTACTAAGTTTAATGTTTACCAGTTAACTGCTCAGTGCTGATGAAATACCTGACCTGCCTTACTTGGACCTGTTGTTATTAAACAATAACAGTTGATCTCTTGATGAAAGAAGTTGACTCCCAAAAACATGTCCATGACTCCCTCTCATGACACCAGGGAGTCATGATGACTCCTTAATTTTTATGCCTAGGGCAAACACTGATTATGCAATTGATCTTGCTTGTAATCAGTTTTGTAATATATGTATATATTGTAATATGATCTCTAAAGGCACATTTGTATTTTTAGTCCTTAATATATCTGTAGAAGTGGAAACAGTCTAGTGTTATATCTGAATAAAATGCATAGTACTGTTCAGAAAAAGTGTCTTTGTTGTTTACCCACAGATCACTCGGAGTTTCTACCAGTTGAAGACGATTGCAGCCTCTACTAGTAGGATCGGAGTTTCTACCAGTTGAATTGGAAAATGTACTGGTAGAATCTCCGATTCAACCAGTAGAGACTACGATTACAATCTCTACTAGTAGGATCGGAGATTCTACTAGTAGAGACTCCGATCGCAGTCTCTATTGGTAGACTCCGGTCGCAGTCTCTACTGGTAGAGACTCCGATCGCAATCCCTACTGGTAGAATCTCCGATTCTACCAGCTCGCAGTCTCTACCCTGACATATATATTTATATATAATAAAAACCTGCCGACGAAGGACAGTAAAACAACTAGAATATCACAGATATACATGTAAACTTATCAATTAAATCTGAGACATTTTAACTATAGGGGACAACACAATATAAAAATAGGCTATAGATCGCCAACAACTGAAGGTAGATCACCATACTAGGGACCATGGGGACTTACAGTACCTTTGCTACCTGCATGAACCCTAGCTGGATTTATGCCATCCCTTCAGCCGCTGGCGATTGTAGGAAAGTTTAGCCAATTTTTAAAGGAACAAATATACTGCGTTTAAAAATCGGGTAAGCAAAAATTTAACTTTGAAAGTTTTGTGACTTACGTATCCTCTCAGGAGGACTCCAACATCCAAAATCTGTTTGGTATACACCCCACGCCAGTCACGGTGCGTTGGCAAAAATTCACCGTCACAAATGATGAAAAACATCTGCAAGAATGCCACACATGCACACACATCACTGCCTTCAAGCAACAGCCGTCACTCTGCTATCCCATGCCGGAAACGAGTTTAAAGTTTAAAATCACATGCTGCACCGTTTCCAGCAGTGTAGATCTACAGAAGAGGTCGTACTCGGCCATTTTGAAGGGGTCTGATCGCCAAAGCGTCGCTTCTCGTGCCGTTGCCACTGTTTCGCCATCTAGGCCCTCTTTACACTTGCAAATTTCTTCATTTGTGTCCGTGATGGGAATGTTTCAGGGCATACACAATTCTACCATAAATGTCAGCTTCGTTAATCAACAGTAGGCCTAATTTGACACGATCAAATCCATGTGGTAATCCTTGATTGGACCAGTCTATGTAAGATTACATGAGGTGGAGAAGGTAGCATAAAATGGAATTCTTTCATCTTTATTGTAATTCCAGTGGTAAACAATGTGATGATATATGAACAATTAACATTATGTGGTGATGATATATGAACAATTAACATTATGTGGTACATGGACAATCAAACAGTGTGATGATATATGAACAATTAACATTATGTGGTACATATGTGCTACATGAACAATTAAACAATGTGATGATATATGAACAATTAACATTATGTGGTACATGGATAATCAAACAGTGTGATGATATATGAACAATTAACATTATGTGGTACATGAACAATCAAACAGTGTGATGATATATGAACAATTAACATTATGTGGTACATGGACAATCAAACAGTGTGATGATATATGAACAATTAACATTATGTGGTACATGAACAATCAAACAGTGTGATGATATATGAACAATTAACATTATGTGGTATATGAACAATCAAACAGTGTGGTGATATATGAACAATTAACATTATGTGGTACATGAACAATCAAACAGTGTGATGATATATGAACAATTAACATTATGTGGTACATATGTGCTACATGAACAATTAAACATTATGTGGTAAATGAACAATTAATGTTATGATATATGTTCAATTAAACATAATCATGGTACATGAACAATTAAACATCATGATGGTACATGAACAATTATACATTATGGTGAATCCTATGAACCCGATGAAAGAGTAAGCATACACTCCGAAACGTCGTGTTATTCACAATAATGAAGTTGACATTAATAAATCTTGCTTTTCTTATGCATTCCACTTCTAAATGCCCTTCAAAGATTTAACATGTTTTCGTTAAGAATGATAGGGAAGAAACAAATAGTTATTCACTCACTCACTCATGGTGAATTTCTTTCTTTAAGTTCGGAACAACAACGCTGTCTCACAAACTGCTGAAACCAACGTGACAACAGCCCCGCCCCCCACAGTCAGTGTTACCGGGACGACCAACGCCCAGCAAGTAACCAATACTGACAGTACGGAAGGCGGCACGACAGAAACAACGGATGTTGGGGTGACAGGAGAAACTACACCTGAGGGACACAATCCTGAAACAACAACGTGCGATAACTCCCCAACAAATGCTAATAACACCGTTACTTATAGTAAAAGTACGACACAGGAAGAAACCTCGGGTATCACCAATGAATTTACTCAGAACCTCACCAGCACTACTCCCCCTTTAACAACGACAACTACACCACAGCCGACCACAACACCGTAGTTTGATTGTACCAGTGGTAGGTATATTTGGTTACAGATTCAATAGATAAAAGCGACAAAACCCTTTCCACATTCAAAAGAAATGTAAAATTGTGACTATATGATGAGCAGATATTTGTTTCAGCAGTATTACAGCTGTATGACGTTGTTTGTAAACAAAAATCGGGTTCGAACCAGACATTCCAGTGATGGTCACCATTCGAAACAATGACAGAGCATGTGTTTATGATGTCTATTTCATAGTGATGATACCAGGGGCGTATCCTGCCTCCCCGGTCGCACCCGTCATAAACGTGTGCCATTTGTTCGCCTGAAATAATTCGGGAACGTATGGTATAAGTCAGAATAGGGAATTGCATAGGACATCATTTTCCTCACTGATGGATGAAATTTGGGAATTTCCTCTACATGTCAGATTCCAAGGGACCATCGAGTGAATAGGTTGACGGTGAAAGGCGACAGAGCGGGTGTCAGTTCGCCGATTTAATTCATTTAATACAGATTCAGTCGATCGGGGGCGGTGAGGTAGCCTAGTGGTTAAAGCGTTCGCTCGTCACGCCGAAGACCCGGGTTCGATTCCTCACATGGGTACAATGTGTAAAGCCAATTTCTGGCGTCTCCGCCGTGACATAGCTGAAATATAGCTAAAAGCGGCGTAAAGTTAAACCCACTCACTCACTCGATGAGAAGATCCTGATATCAATTACTAGATCATTCACAGAATTGTTTACCAAGTGTGGCGTTAGGCAACAAACTGATACTCAAATAGTAGCTGTTATACTTATAATGTATATTTTGACATTTCAATGAGCAAAATAATGACATGAAGTAAGGAACGACAAAGAGGTAGAGATGGATTAATTCTTGTTTATTTCGTCACATCAGCAGCGGCTTGGCAGTCGGGCGGCTGGGACAGTCCTGGCCTGTTTGCTGAGATCAGCTGGTGTTGTTACTGTCTCTGCTGCTGCCGTCCAGATCTCTCTGCTTTCTGTCTGGCCGCCTTCCCTTATATAGCACCTCGTCAAGATTAATGGTTCAGCCATCTTTATCCCACAGGCTGTGCAACCAGCTGGTAAGATGTCAGAAACGTCAGTGTTAATGCCTCATGGATTATTTTCATCACCGGTCACAGGTAATGTCCAAACATTAAAGTGTCATTGCCATCGTGGTGGATTACTTCACAGCAGTTCCTTGCTGCATGTTGACACATTCAGGGGAATGACCACGGATTTATCGCAGGTCAGACATAGTGTCCAAACATTAATGTGCCATCGTCGTCATGGTGGTTTACTTCACAGCAGTTTCTTACTGCATATTGATTTGTTGACACACTCAGGGGCTGACCATAGATTGACCTGGGACTAACCGAGGGAGGCGGCCATCAACTATGTTACATTCGCCCCAATGTAACTAAGAACTTTTCCTCGAAAATTTCTTCCGTTTATTACTTGTGTCGTCTAGTCTTCTACTTGTGTCGTCTAGTCTTCTACTTGTGTCGTCTAGTCTTCTACTTGTGTCGTCCTTGTACTTGCGTTGTGTCTTCACATGGCGTCACTACTGGAAAATAACGAGTTCCAGTCTTACCACTGTCTATTTACACTGAGTAGACATTGTCCGTCTACTCGTTGGTCGATTTTGACAACTGGCGTGGATCCAGTCTGCTGGTGTCCAGGCTTGGATAGAGGATCTGCACAGCTGGGGCCGCTGTAGGTGTTGTCACTGCATCCTCCGTCCCTCCTCCTGACTCGTATGGTGCAGTGGCGATGCGCCCTCTGTCGGTGCTACTCACACCTCCCGATAGGACCGGCACCAACTCGAAGTCGGGAGCAACCCGGGTGTTTCTTGCTCGCTTGAACATTTTGGCTAGCCAGGGTTTAAACTCAATATACATAATGATTCCTGTTATAACTAAAATAACCCCTACTATTCCCACTACTATAATCTTTTTCTTGTAAGACCTTTTGCCCTCTTTCATCTTAGTATCCAGAGTTACCAATTGATTAATCAAACTATCCATGGGGATCGGATTGATATTATCAAGATGCTTGGGTATTTCACTTAATGACAGGTTTTTCACTATCTTATGAAAAGGCTCCCATAAGATTAAAGAAGATACATTAGGTGGTTGATATAATTCTAACCAGTCATCATTGACACTGTGATGACTTTCATCATAGTAATATTGCGGCAACGTTAAATGATCATTGGAAGCAGAACATCCTATGTCCATTTGGACAAGACCAGAGGGTGGTTCTACAGTCAATACCCGCCGTTTCTGTTCCTTACAAACAATTCAGGGGCTCCTTTCACGAAGCAGCCTTTACTAAGGTTAACCTTAACTCCCATTCTTTAACATTGCACTAAGGTTACCTTAGTGACTTATGGTCACCTTGGTGCTTTGTGAAAGGAGGCCCAGGTTGATAATTGTAGTAATTATCCATTTCCCATCACTGATATACCGTGCCATCGGTAATACTGAACGCGGGGTAACCTCTGTTTGACTCTGCTCTCTAACTCTCTGCCCTACCTTCATGAACAGTTCAATGATACAATTTTTGCTGAGATTGATCGGATACACTGGACTTTGAATGTGGCAATATGACGTCAAAGGCATGGTGCATACATGCTCCTCTGAACCCTGAAGGAACATATACTGGGTTTGGCAGCATTGACAGCAATCATGTTTGCCTCTAGTTTATATGTGGCAACCATACGGTTAATACCGTTTGGTTTAGACTCGATAACATTTTGCATCATAGGCGTTGGCATATTATGGGCTTTGTAGATTTCAAACTGACCATTGAGATCTAGGAGAGGTAGGGTCACGATAATCAAAATTTCTCTTTCGTACAATACCGTCGTACAAGTCAGAGTCTTATAGAAATCCCATAATTCTTTCTGTGGGTCTCCAGTTAACTTGAAATTAGGGGGTAAATGGATTTTCACATCTTGTAATAATGCTTGCAACTGTGTGGGGCTAATTGCACTTGGTGACAAGTGTCTAAGTGAGAGCATATTAAGCTGCAGCTGAAGATGTTCTACATAAGACATAAAGATTTCAATGGTTCGTCGAAGTTCCTCAATTACCATACTCAATCTCATATAAGTGACTGTTATCCATTCAAACTGATCTATCCGATCACTGACCAGGTGTTAGTACTGCAATGGGCAGAAGGTGTCAGAAACAGTTCTCAATGATTAGGGCAAATACAAACGCTATTACCTGAGATGACCTCAACTTGTATCATTTGAAAGTGCCACTTCGACCGGGGACTATCATGTGGATTTTCTTTTTGTTCACATTTCACGTTAAAATCTTCTTTCCCAAACCTGGTTTCTAAAGAGTATAGTAACGACATGGCTGAAATATCGCCACTGTGACTATAGCTCACGCATATCGTGTTTTAGTGAGACTGAAACTGTGATCCTTCTGCGTCAAACATGGTACTGAGAAGCAGCAATTAAACAAAACGACAGGTTATGCTCGCTTTGCTTGACTTAAACCAAGCACTGACTAGGAAGCTGCTATGGGTTCTATGTAATATACAGGAAGGTGTACACAAGTACTCTGAAGAGGGTATGGGACTGGAAGTTGTTCTAAAAATGTTGGGTTTTCATCGCTATATGGCTGTAATATTGCCGTTACGATGTAAAATTTTAACTCACTCACTCTAAATATGTTGGGTAGTAATACTGACTCATTTTGATAAATAAAACAAAAGGGATAAAAATCTCTTCATGTACAGTTTTGAACTGAATGAAAAATAAGTAAATTCTGTGTCAAGGAAAAGCTGTTAAGCACAGGTTTCTTTTTAAGAATGAATTATATATAAACCCGTCATCACATGGCAGATAAAGAGCCTATTATGGTATAGCAGAAATAACATTGTAACGGCAGAAACACTTATGATGAATGAATAAATTATTAAACGACTTCTCTTTGGAAACCCGCAACTGATAAACAATATAAGAAGGTGATAACTGAAACAATTAAACAAAATGGTTTGAATGAATAGAGATTAAGCTCGTCTCTTATTGTCACCGATGAAACGTTGCCGAACCAGTCTGTGTATGATCTAGATGATGGGAGGGGAAGGTGAAAAGGCATCTGGAGGAGGGGTGGGGCCACTAACCTTGAGGTGGGGTGAGGACCTTGTACGTAGTATTTTGGAGGTTGAGTAGAGACAGTCGATGGGGCATCGTGAGGAGGAGTGGGACAGTGAATGAAGCATGGGGAGGAAGGGTGGGACAGTGAATGTAGAGTTCAGATGAGTCTAGGCACAGTGGGCGTATCATGTTGACAAGGGTGGGGAAACGGATGCAGCATGTGGAGGAAAGGTGTGACGGGGAATATGGTATGTGTAGGAGGAAATGGGGAGTGATTGTAGTGGTGGTGGTGGAATTGGGTTTAACGTCGTGCTTGAGAATATTTCGCTCATATGACGACGTGCATGCGTGTGTATGTGTATGTGCGGCTGCTTGTACTAGCCCAGACTGAAGCTGATTTACAGTGCTAGCCCACTGAGATACCATGCCGCAGTAAAGCATGAATACCCCACTCAATCACATTATACCGACTCCGAGCCGACCAGTCCTTGTCGTACCCATTAATGCCGAGCGCCAGGCAGTGACCAACAAGTACCATATTTTAACGTCTTTTGGAATGATGCGGTCGGGGATCGAACCCGCGACCTTCCGCACTCCGGCGGACACTCTAACTCACTACACCACGGAGGCGGTCAGTGATTGTAGTATGAGGGAGGAGTTTAGGGCAGTGATTGTGGGACGTGGGGGAAGGAACGGGACAGTGAGGCGGGGAGGAGGGTGTGCGCGGATGGGACAGATGTGTGGTTTGGCTGTGGATTTAGCATGTGGAGGGATGGCACAGTGAATATATTATGAGGGAGACGGACGGGACACTGAATGTAGCATGTGGAGGAGTGTAGGCACAGTGAATGTGGGGGAGGTTTAAAACAGTTAATGTTTTGTCTGTGTGAGGAGTTGGACATTGTATGTAGCATGTGGAGGGAAGGTAAATATATGTGAAATGAATTAATATTGCTTTACGCCGCATCAGGAAGTGTTCAACTTTTAACATTGTATACTACCCAGGGAGTTGAGATTAATAATACGATATGCTGTTGAGATTAACAAGCAGTGATCGAGGGAAAATATACCAGCGCCTTGAGCAAGCACTAGTTGCCTTGATATGTGCGCTATATAAATATCATATAATAAAATATCATATAATAATAACATAAAATAAAAACGATAACTTGTAACTATGAATTCCAAATAAAGAACGGTACTAAAAAGAATGATCGCAGTGATAATTTAATATATATCACAGATAAAGCATACCTGACATATTGCTGAAAGCTATGTTTGTTCATTAAAAACATTCTGTTTTTTAAAAATGACAGAATCTTTTGGCTATGCACTTGTGTAACACGTTGTTTCTAAAATAGAAACATTAAACTATATATATATCAATAGGCAGCATCCACAGTATAAAAGTATGGGTATATACTGGCACTGACAAGGGATACACGCACTGTCAGCCTTTAAAGGTGAATGGGTGTGTTAATTATTCACATCGGCAGTATTTCAGCCATAACGTGACTAAAACAAGTTAGAGATTCATAATACATAAGCTTACAATATTAAAAACTGTCAACGAAGGACAGTGAAAACAGCTAGAATATCACAGATAAAGGTATCAAAATAAAACTGTTTACCTATAGAAGACAATACGACATCAAACTTGCCAATACTTTGCGTAAAGCTAGCCAACATCTTGTCTGAAAACCCGAGTAGGTATAACCGATAGTTGGTTTAATTTCATGTAGTTCATCGATACATACTTAGGGTATACCACTTCTTTGCTTTGGATCACGGTATATAATCGAAGTGAGTGAGTGTGTTAAGATTTTATGTCAGGTCGGCAGGATATCAGGCATATCATCACTAAAACAAGTTATACATGAAGCTAGAATATCACAGATAAAGGTATAAAACTAGCCTGAGAATCTAAAACTGTTTAACTATAGAAGACAATACAACATCAAACTTGCCAATACGTTGTGTAAAGCTTGCCAATATCTGAAAACCACAGTAGGTATAACAGATAGTTGGTTTAGTTTCATGTTGTTCATCGATCCAGATATTGTAAAAACCCTAGCTATTTATATACACAATGCAATAAAAATTAGAGATTCACTTCTATGCCAGTAATATCATATTTCCTTTTGTATATTTTGTAAATTAACTTATTGTCTTCAGAACTATATATGCACACGTGTACCGCTCTGAAATCCTGAAATGTAGCCTGGGCCTATGGCCTCCCACTACAAAGAAAATAAAGATTGATTGACTTCAAAAGTTCATCGAGACCGACTTTGGGAATACCACTTCTTTCCTTTGAAGCACTGTTTATTATCTAAGTATAAGTGAATGAATGAGTGAAATACTGTAGTTACTCACAGTACTGGCCAACTAGCAAGCCCTCCAACCTTGCAGTGTGCAACAATGCTACCTCAAGTGCATTGGTTGTGTTTTACCTTTCAGTGGGTTTCAATGTACAGAATCGACGAGATGAAGGACATGCCTGCATTTAGAAAATATGCATCAGAACAGCAATGTGAAAGTGACGCTACTTTTGCTGAATTCAAGCCATACGGTGAAATGATGTGCTTCAGTAAATGTTTGCAACTTGCTAGTTGTTTTCATATAAGATTCCATCCAAAGGAGCTGATCTGCAGATCATCAAAGACAGTGCAGTCTGGTAAACTCAATAACGCAATGCATGACCAAGGCTGGATTTGTTGGACGAAACCAGATATAGTAAGAGCCGAATTTTTTCACGTTTAACCTAAGTGTGAGCTCATTCTCAATAATACGTCGGCAATATTTCAGCCATATCGCAATGAGTACAACCTTCACATTGAGTACTAATGAAATCAGTTAAGCTATAAAAACTGGTAAACAACTAAGAGTTAGTGAGTGGGTTAATATTTAGCATCACATCGGCAATATTTCAGTCATAGCAGAACAATTAATTAGTATATTATAGATCAATTAAATTAGAAATTAAAAGCCTGTTGACGAAGAACAGTAAAACTACTAGTGTATCACATATATCAAAGTAAAATTAGAATGTTATCCTAAAACGATATTATTAAACATACGATGTAAAAACAGAATAGCAACAATTGAAGGTAGGTTACCATACTAGAAACGAAGCATTCGTGAACAACTCGTGTTATTCCGGGACAAGCCGAATAGCGACTCGTGCCTCTCTGGAAGGATTTCATATTGGCGTAGGAACATCAGAACTACTTCAAACAGGAACGATAACTCTATTCCTGTTTGATTCTAATGGTACTTAATATCACCGAAGTACTCATACATTGCGTTGCTGTTTCTTTTTTTTGCTATTTATCCTAAAGACTTAAAACTTCCTTGATAGAATTAAAAGAAAGAAAAAATCATATTTGTTAAAAACATATTCTGACGTCTTGTATTCCAATTATATGTCTGAAAAGGGGTTTAATAATCACAGAGGGATTTTTTTTATTGAAAGTGCAAATTAAATTTGTAAAAAACCCCGCTACATTAAATCCCAAAGCAGAAACTAAAAAAATACTTTTTATTATATTTCTCAAACTGAATATACGTGTAACCTTGCTGTCATACCACAAGTGGACTTTTTAACTAAATTCGCTGAAAAATATATGAATGACCACAAGAATCGTCAGAAACACCCTTAGTTGGACCCATGAGAGCCGTTATGTCAACAAACGCACGTGCGTGTATTTGAATCTCTCGCCGTCAATCGCATGATTCTTATCAAAAACACCATAATAGGCAGCAAAATCCTGTTAGCTCAGTTCTTTGTACTTTCCATATGACGATATATTTTTTAATGATTTTTTACACAATGACATAATGCCATAAACGATTTATGTACTCAGGATTACTTTTACCAAAGCACCGCAGTCATTTACGTGCGTTCTGATTGGTTTGTCGTATTTTCGCACATAACAAGCATCGAGAGGGGACGAGTCTTCTTGCAGGTTACGGAAAGGGGCGAGTGGTGACGAATGGAAACGATGGAGACTTTCTGCATGGACCAAAGCTAGAGTCACCCCAGTAACTAAACTTAACTTTGAAACTTTTGGGACTTAGTACCCTCTCAGGAGGACAATAATTTTACAATACTTCAACCCCTTTTGAGGATACAGCCACTTACAGTCTCAGCTACTCATATAAACTTCCAGTTGTAAAAATACGCCATGCTTGACCGTGATTCTTTCATCACAAGGGATACAAAACGGAGGATCTTTTAACAAATATTCATGGGTGTATCTCGGGTGGCCAATGCGACATCGTCGAATTATGACCTCTTCAAATCTGGACTGACAGCACAAGTCAACCGATAGTTGAGTTTATTTGATGTAATTTATTAATACCAACCTGGGTGTCCCACTTCTTCTGTATGTTCGTGGATAAAGCTTTAAAATAGTCACCATGAGGAAAGCGTTCTTCACGAGTGTCTCTTTTGGCAAGAATGGTACGCATTATCCACACTTGTAAGGTCAATGAGAGCTTGACGTGCACAATGCGTCTGTAACGAAGGTCTGCGCACCTCTTATAGACTGTGTAAAATCGCAAACGACCCTTAAAGATTGCTCTCCACACCTTCCGTACAGCGTATGGGTATGTTTGTGGTATTCATCAACAATACTTTGATTAGGAAATTCCGCTCAACACATGATATTTTCTGAAACTAGCAAATGTATAGAAACTATTGTGTGTTCCCATACGTGTTTGAATAACTCAAGTCAATATCGTAATTTATCAGAAAACTAAAGTCAATATCGTCTTTGTAGACAAACACGTGACAGTATTTTGACCAATCGTGATACAGGAAAAATACTACCTATATCATAAATTGTATTGTCTTCGTATATAAAATAGTGTTAGATTTCCATGCTAGTTTTAGAGACCATGTGTTATGCTCTAGTTATTTTACAGTCCCTTGATGAATGATTATTTAACAACTTATATTAATTGTAAAAGCAAAATCTTTCTCATCACTATATGGCTAAAATATTGCCGAGATGACGTTAAATCTTAACTGACACACTTACTCCTCACTCACTCACTCACTTAAAGCCATGCATATGGAGTAACGTTGATGTGGCTTTTAAAAAGCTTACAGTCATATTATTCGGCTCGGGCTAATACTCAATTTTATGATGCACGCACATTTCATGTAGGGTGCGTTTTAGTTGATTCACTACAAACGTAAGTGTAACGTTACGTTTTTGTTCAACGTTTCTTTTCAAACGTTTTGTCCTCAGCAACCGTTCTACCACATGCTGGGATTCAGCATGAATTGTTTTGCGTCAAATATTTTCGTAAAATTCAAAACTATATATATTACGGTGGTATCTTTTAAATTTACTTAAACTGTGTTTGGACTTATGTATCCTCACAGGAGGACAATAATGTCACAGTATTTTGACCCCTTCTAGGATACAGCCACTAACAATGATTACACCAATGCCATTTAGAAATTGGTCAAATGTCAACATGTGTTATATTTGGGATTACACTTTTCTTAGTAAAGTACAAATTCTAGTACTAGTAGCAACCCGCAGGTTAGGCGGCTGACTTTGTGTGCTGGCGATTAGGTGCCTGACTCTGAGGGTGTGGGAGTTCGAATCCCGGATGGGCTCAACTCAAAAAGTACTAGAATTTGTACTTTACTAAGAAAGTATAATCCCAAATATAACACATGTTACATTTGACCACTTTCTAAATGGCATTGTGTAATCATAGCTTTCGGCCGTGGGAGCCATGCCAATTAATAATGATCAGATGGGTACACACACCCGGACTGTCGAATGTTTTATCGAATACACACCCGGACTGTCGAAAGCAGCGGAGTGTGGCAATGCTGAACACTGCTCTAATAACACCCGGAGTGTCGACTGCCTTGGAGAACATGAACCTAATCCGCTCTACTCTAATTAACGAGGGAGAAGAAATGAGTGTTATTGTTGTTGAAATCAGAAAAGAGTTTGAGTTAACTAGATTTGTATTTGTATGTGTTGTTGTTGTGGAAATGAGAAAATTAACTATGTCTGTATCAGATTTGTAGAGCGTCCGCCCGAGAGTGGAAGGTCGCGGGTTCGATCCCCGACCGCGTCTTTACCAAAAGACGTTAACATATGGTACTTGTTGGTCCCTACCTGGCGCTCGGCATTAATGGGTACAACAAGGACTGGTCGGCTCGGAGTCAGTATAATGTGTCTGAGTGGGGTATTCATGCTTCACTGCGGCATGGTATCTCAGTGAGCTAGCACTATAAAACCAGCTTCAGTCTGGGCTAGTACAAGCAGCCGCACATACACATACACACGCATGCATCGTCGTCATATGAGCGAAATATTCTCAAGCACGACGTTAAACCCAATTTCACCTCACCTCACCTGTATCAGATTTGTCACATTTCCTTCACGGATACATGTGTAACTATATAAACCAGGTAAGTAACATAAACGTTGTCAATATGGCAAATGCGCAGGTTCAGGTTACCTTCACAGAGAACGTCTACGGTCACAGAAATTTAAATCATGGATGTTACAAGTACAAGAAGAACAAGGAAAAGAATTACGTCTTATACTGGCGCTGTGTGGAGAAAACTTACAAGGTTACACTTCAGACTAGAGATGACGTCATATCCAGTTTCGGAAATCATCTTCACAACCATGCCTCTAATGTCTTCCTTCTTCACGTCGATCAGTTCAAGTCTACACTCATTCACCGCTCCAAGACAGAGACAACAACCATCAACGCCATCTTCGATGAAGAACTGATCAACATTCGAAGAAATGCAGAGTCCCTACCAGAAGATATCTTGCAGCACATCCTATGTTTGACACAGAACATCCATGTACCGAGCGAGGCACAAGACCATTCCTAAGCTACCTAAGAGTAGAGCCACCGTCCAACTTGAGGGAGAGTGGTGCCAGACTGAAGTCGGAGAAGAGTTCCTCAACGCCGATAATGGAGACACCAGTCGCATCCTTCTTACCAATCTTAAGCTTCTATGTGACTCAAATATTATCTATGCTGATGGAACTTTCTACTCTGCCCCCTCTGTGTTTCACCAACTGTACTCGTTCCATACTGAGGTTCAAGGCCTCATTTATCCCCTCGTGTACTTCCTTCTGCCCAACAAGAAAGAGGAGACATATGCCTGAGCATTCCGCCTACTGGAAAGCAGCAGCAGCACAACGAGAGGCTTCAACTTATCTCCAGACATCATTGAGATGGATTTTGAGAAGGCCGCCCACAACGCCGTGTCGACAGTGTTTCATACGTCACAACTACATGGATGTTACTTTCACAACTCTCAGTGTGTTTAGAGATGTATCCAGAAACTTGACCTAGTGGACTGAGTATAAAGAGTGTGATGACTTGCGATGACTTGTATGACGTGCCGCTTTGGTGCCTGTTGATCAAGTTGAGGATGTTTGTGTCCAGGCTATTGCCGATGCTCCTCAAGGCTATCACCAGATTTATGGACTACATCACAGAGACATTGGGGGTGGGGGTGGGGTGGGGGTGGGGGTGGGGGTTGGGGGTAGGGTGGGGTTTGGGGTGTGTGTGTGTGTGGATGGTGGTGGTGTTGGGCATCTTCGTTTGAACAATATCAGTGGGAAATGTCATCCCAACATCTATGAGCATGTTCGTGTGCTGGAGAGAGAGCAGACCTTTGTGGAGGCCCGCCTTGCTCAAGTGTGTGGCCACAGACGTGCACCAGCAAGGAAGCGGTGCTACCGCAGAGTTTGACAGGAGGCTTCAGCATCTCAAGGATCATCTGTTTGATCTCAAGGATCAGCTTCAGAGGCAAGAGAACTATGCTCATCAGATTGGCTACCTTGCTCACTTAATATGGCGTTTGCTTCTGCTGTACAATAGCGGTGTTTTCTCCCAATACATCCACTTTTTTATAGTACTGGGTTTAATGTTCTGCAAATCATCTTCTTTGGGTGATACCACACATGGCTACAACTAGCAAGCTGCAAACATTTAGTGAAACACTGTTGATTTATCCAGTAGGGCTTAAATTAAGCTAGAGTGACGAGCGAGTGTCATGATAGCGTCGCTGTTACTGTGCATATTTTCCCCATTGTAGGTACATCCTTGATTATGTTCGATATGTACAATGAGACCAAAGGCAATGCTTTGCGCGTTCGGTATCATTGTTGAACAGCCGGTTAGTTTAACTCTACACTGTTAGTGGTCCATTGTAAAATTTAATACCTACTGACGTCTTCCTAAAGTAACTCATTGTATGACAGGTATCACGGCGTTTACGAGACATAGTGCACGACAACCTTTAGAGAAATTGTCATCTGTCTGCTGCAGATTACCTCAGTTCATATCTCAGTTTTTAAACAACACACAATTTCAAGTACGGGTAGGTTGCACATTGTCTGATTATTTCCACCAAGATCAGGGCGTCCCTCAAGGCATCATCCTGTCTGTCACCCTTTTAGCATCCCGACATTGATCCAGAACAATACTAGTATCTTCCCGATTACCGGATAATAGCTATATTTTTACAGCAGAAGTTAACGCCATATTAACTGCTCTTAAATACCACAAATATAAACAATATATCATATTTTCAGATTGTCTTTCTTGCCTTCAGGCTATTAAAAAATCTGTCTTGTAAACATCCACTTTTAATTGAAATAATTGAATTGTATAATGATCTTGCAACTGGCCAATACGTCATCGTCTTTGTTGGTTGCCCAGCCACGTTGGCATTTCTGGGAACACAATGGCCGATCTTGCTGTAAAGGCAGCACTCAACAAATC